CCCTCATATGTGGGATCCGAACCGGGGCCCTCTGGCGTCCCAAGCCAGCTCTTAACCAACGCGCCACTCGGCCGGCCCTGACTAGGTCTTATTTTTGAGGAAATAGGGTATTCCCATGCTCATGGATCATCTAAAGTCTATTTAACTTTGCATAACTCTGAAAATGACATGAACACTATTCCTGAAAAATTTAATTTGTGTATGTATTTTATTCTCATGAACAACACTCTGCTAACTTTATAAAAACAAACCAAACCTTCATTGTTGATAAATGAGGCTGCCACTCCTTGTTCAGGTTTTGTTTTTCATAAGTACTTTATACAAGATATTTTCCCCAGTATTAAAAAATATATATATATATTTTAGCCTAGCCCCACACAAGGTCTATTCACCAGTGACAGATGCTGATGAAGGAAATTCATGTCTTCTTCTGTAGTATTACCTGTGGATAAATCAAACACTTGACAAGATTTGTCTCCCTGGATCTTTCTAGAAACGTTGAATGTCAATTTGTTATGAAGCAAAAGCTCTCCGATGGAAACTCATAAGAATAATCAATTCATAGGGTTAATACAGGAACACTCATGGGACTCACCAATTCATAGGATTAACATAGGAACTCATATGTTTAATGAATGCTGTGCCGTTAGTGACTTGGACTATTAGTACTGGACATGTTTGGCAAATTATTTTCTCTTGAACTATGTAAACGAGTATATTTGTCATTTCCACAATCACTTGGTGGTCCTTGAATTTTATAGAGGCCAGACTTTGAAATTGAGAGCTCACCTTGTAACTTGGACACAACTGAGATCAGTTCAGTGTAACCCCAATTAAAGTGGTTACACTTGTTCCCAAACTTATCAGCTCTTAAGTGATGGAAAAGCAAAACTTTAAACACTAAGTATTGGCCACCAGAATTCACGGCTTTGAGAAAGCTAACAATGAGAGCGTTTCTTGAGATTGATCAGTTTAGCAAGAGGATTTCTTGAAATTGATTTAACATGCAGGGAAATGACAAACTGAGGATATCAGTGATGGCGGGGCAGGACCAGTATCTGTCTGGAGGGGCAAGACTTAGACATGTAAGAAAAGCTAAGATCAAAACCAGAAATTGGTTACTATTTAGCTCTTAGTGATTCACCAAAAAGACGAGGAAAGCCGGTCTTTTCAGCCCTACAACGTAAAAGCTTTGTGGAGGATACTCATAAATAGTACATAAGTGTGTCTGCTGTATTTTCATGCTGACCTTTAGCTCTCACCAGAGAATATATAGTTTTGGACTTAAGGGGGCAAAAGGAAATAGATGAAAGACAACATTGTAAGACATTCAAGATTTCTGGCTGGCAACATCAAACATGGTATGTTTCCATTTTTAGTTCTTGAGACCTCTTGGTCAGAAATGTGGGGGAGCGTGAGCACGTGAGCACGGGTTGTCCATGCCCTTGGGGGAAAAATGTTCTTACAAGAATTGGTTACCAAAGTGGATGTTTTGAACCCAGCTGCTAATTGTCACGGCTCAGACTTTGAACAGATTTTATAAACTCGATGGTAAACTTTAAGGGTATACTGTTTAATAGTTGCTGTGTCATGTCCTCTTTAAGAAAAGGAAGTGCCAAACAAGCCTTTGCGTGTTCGAGTCCGACCCTCAGATGACCGGTTGTCCATTGCGTGGAAGGCGCCACGCCTGTCTGGAGCCAAGAGTCCCCGCAGGTCACGGGGATTTCTTCTGGGCTACGGGGAAAGCGGCCGGAAGATGAATTACATTCCACTGAAAAGAGATGAGCGAACACACGAAATTAAAAAGCTAGGTGAGTTTCATGTTAACTGGTATTCAGTGTTTGGTGACCTACCTTCCCATCAGTTCAGTATGCAGAAGCATGTTCACGATAGAACAGTATATTTTAGTAGTGATGTTCATTTTCCAGCTATTACAGTTATACAGTTATTCAGAATTATACTCCGTTTTCTACTCCATCTGCCTCCATCCTTTGAACCGCCAGGTGGCAGCAGGACAAGGTCGCCTTCCACGTGCTTCAGCTGTTTCCTGAGCCTGTAGCCTTGATTCCTTGAATTGGGCCATTTCTCTTGACGTGAGAGGGAGGGCTAATGCTTTTCCTACCTTGGCTCTGCATTCATCCTTTTTGTTTGTTAAGCTTTGTCTTGGATCCTAGGACAGTGGACCATGGGTCCCACTGAAATGAAATATGGCGGCAGCAGATGAAACCTGCAAGCCAGGCCTGTCTTCCTCCCTTTCCCTAAAACCTTCTCTGGTGAAGGAAGCGCTGGCCATGGGAGGCTGAGGAAACACTCGCTGTGACCAGGAGAGATTACGGGCATCATTCTAGCGTGGGGCGAAGCCTGACTTTGGCTGGCCTCATTCATTGACAGGCCTGGCCCGTGGGCACAGGCCAGGCTCCCAGAGGGCCAATGCTTATCCCTCATGCCTGGCGTTTCCCTCGTGTGGTGGCAGTGCCAGCCGCGGCAGCAGTCCTGCTTCCGTCCCCTGCCCTCACACCCCTGAGCTACTTGATGAGTTTGGCAGGAGGCACTGGGGAAGTGTGGCTTGGCCCCTTCATGTCGTCTCCTCCTGGGGGGTGCCAGACCGCAAAGAACACACATTCTGCTCAGCTCCTCTGTGCCCAAAGTCATGTAAGGGTTCCCAGGGATGAGGGGCAGCAAAATTTGTCCAATTCTGAGGTCCAGTAGTAGAAAGTATACTTGCCATGTTCTCCAGCCTAGCTTGCACCAGCAATAAATATTTTGGCTACCACTGCTTACTCTTCCTTCCTTTCCTAATTGGAGGCAAGGAAGAGGCTGTGATTTATCGAGTCCTCCTGGAAGATTCCAGTAGGATCCAGTGGTCCCTTTACATGGTAGTCAGGTGTCACTCAGCTTCTGGAATACACCCAATGACAGGCTGGAGATGGAAGGAGGAATGATTGCAGGCAAAGTAGCAGGCAAGGGCAGACAGCTGAAGGTCTGTGTGACGTGAGCGGAGTCACCAGCAAGAGGGTAGAGTGGAGGTGCCCTTTGGCACCTACTTAGCTATAAAACATAACGTGTCTTAGACACAGTGAGGGGTGGGCACACAAGTGAGTGCTGAGGCTGATGAAACAAGACAGAGGAACGTAGAAAGAAAGGAGGAAGAATACCCAGGAGCAAGAGCTGCCAGGGTGTTAATAACAGTTTGTAGCTCAGCCTGAGGTGAGTGCATGGTGGTGGTGGAGACAGGTCTGCTTGTGAGAAGAAGGCCAGGTGGGCCCACGCTCCTCGGGCGTGCTGAGGACGAGATCTGCTTTGCTAAAAGGCATGGCCACACAATATTTTGCACTTGAGCTTAGCCAAAAGGCAGAGAAGCGATCTCACCACACAATATTTTGGAGCCTGGACAAGCAGCTGCAAGTTTGTCAGGACGCCACAGGCTGGCCCCTGGCTGCGTGGCAAGCACTGACCAGGGCAGGTTTGATCTGGTGGAGACACTGAGTGGAAGGCCGGGCTGGAGTCCCTCCCGGAAGTAGCCTCGGAAGTCACCACTCCATTCACAGCTCTTTTCAGCCACCTGCTGAAAACTCTTGGAAAAGCCTGTAGGGTGTTCATTTAGCGTCAACAAGTTTTCCATTTGACTGGTTCTATCTTTTCATTTTCTCAGCAGTGAACCCCTGGCTCACCTGAAGATAGCAGGAGGATTTATTTATTTTTGNAACCACTGCTGCTCAGATGCTCAGAGCTCACACTCTTGAGCGAGCTCTTAACCAACTTAGGCACTCGGCTGGCCCTGGGTTGGTGTTTCTGAGCCCAAAGATGTGCAAGACAGAGGGCTGTGTTTAGAGGGATGGTATTCTCACCTCGTTCTGGTTTTCAGAGGCAATGACTTCCATGCAGCTTGGGGACAGTATTTGGTCAGAGACCTTCTCTTGTTCGTCTGCTACCTGCTGAGTATACTGTCTGGTCCATTAAACACATACACACACACACACACACACACACACACACACTGCCTACTGTGTAAGGCATTATGGTCACACTCTGAAAGGGGCCTGTCCAGCTCAGAACCCTTGTTTCACATTCGTTAGCAGAAGAGTTAGGTGATTGTTGGGATGGCACGTGGGGTGAGGGGCAAGCATAAATGGAAGGGACCTAGTTAGACGAGAAGGGAACTTGGCACCAGAGTGGTTCAATTCAGGTTTCTGCTTGGCATGTAGCAGCTGAGCAGCTTTGGGTCAGTTACTTCACCTCTTGGAACCTCAGTTTTCTCTTGGGAATTATGACATCTATCTTACTTACCTGGAAGCTGTTTCAGGACAATTAAAATTGGGCATGTGAGAGCTTGTGATGAAGTGTAAGGGGCTATATAAAGCAGGCACTGTGGGAGGTTGTAAGGACCAGCTTCAGCCCTGTTCCTGCAGCTTGCTTAGCTGGCCTGGCCTCATTCTCCAGCCCTGGTGTGGAGTGGGTAGACAGCAGGCCAGAGCCCAGGGCAAAACATGGGGCAGGCTGATGGGGCAGGTACTCTCCCTGCCACTGGGTGGCATGGCTGGTGGCTAGTGGGCCTGGCATGAGTCAGGACAGAGCTACAGGCCGGACACTGCAAGCAAAAACTTGCACCATCTCTGGAACCGAGCTCCTTGTCTTTGGAACCTCACCCCTCCTTCCTCCTCAGGGACCCTGTCACTTTAGGAAATTCCAATGGTCTTTCTCCTTATTACTGTCCCCCCCCCAGTATTTCACTGCTGAGTGTTAGGGGACATAGGAGCAGAGACCTGCTACACTTCCAAGGCCCAGCAGCGACAGTGAGCTTCCCAGGGTCACATTCCACTGCAGGACAGATGGCTGGAAGGGTCCCAGGACTGGAGCAGAACCACAGGGCAGAGAATGCAGTTTCTGTTCAACAGTTTATTTTTTAGCTGACTCCTGTAAGACCCATGTGTGTGTGTGTTCAGTAGATTTGCCCGTTTTGCTAGAGATTATCCCCAAACTCCCATGTTGATGTGTTGCTCTCTGCAATGGAGGCAAGTATTGTTGGGGTCCACAAAGGGCTTTAGAGCAGCAGCTGTGGAGGGCAGAGGCATGAGCTTTCCATAAAGGTAAAATAAATGTCATATGCTGTTGGCAGAGATCATTTTCACCTTACAGACTTATTTTTTTAAACATAGCCCTGACCTCTGCCTAAAGCTAGGCACCCGGTGAAACCAAACCTCAACTTCACATTCACCCTCAGAGCCACAGATAGTATGAAACATCACTCATGAGAGGGTCTTCTGTGAAAACTGAGTTTTTGTTTGTGGTAATAGCTTGCATTAGAGGCACACAGAGGGAAAAATGACTCAGGAGACGTAAAGAGAAGGAAACAGAGTTTTTCACTCCCTTAAAATTTTCTCTCAACTGCTACCATGTTTCTCCAAAAATAAGACCTTGCCAGAGAAGAAGCCCTAGCATGATTCAACCAGGATATGGAGGGCACGCACCCCTCACATGATGGTTTTATGACCTGTTTTGGGGAGAAGGGTGCCTTTTCCGTAAACTCCTTCAGCTTAAAATATTCAGTATGCCAAGGTGCCATATTTTGGCTCCTAAAATCATACGAAGGCTTATTTTCTGGCTAGGTCTTATTATTTTTTTTTAATTGGGGAATTGGGGGATGAGAACAGCACTGGGGAATTGGGGGAAGGGGAACAGACAAATTGCTGTCGTTTTGTTCTTCAGTCTAGTTGTGGAGGACGTTGCTTCACTGGCCCAAGTTGGCACCATCATCGCGCTCTTCCCGGGCGA